ATGTCTAATTTAAAACATCTAATTGAAAAATCTCAAATTCAAAATCTCAAACTCAAAACCTCAAACTCAAAATCTCAAACTCAAAACCTCAAACTCAAAACCCCAAACTCAAACCCCAAACCCCAAACCCCAAACTCAAAACCTCAAACTCAAAACCCAAAACCCCAAACCTCAAACTCAAAATCTCAAATTCAAAACCTCAAATTCAAAACCTCAAACTCAAAACCTCAAACTCAAACTCAAAACATCAAACTCAAACTCAAAATCTCAAACTCAAAATCTCAAACTCAAAACCTCAAACTCAAAACCTCAAACTCAAAATCTCAAACTCAAAACCTCAAGCTCAAAACCTCAAACTTAAAACCTCAAACTCAAAACCTCAAACTCAAAACCTCAAACTCAAAACCTCGAACTCAAAACCTCAAACTCAAAACCTCGAACTCAAAACCTCAAACCCCAAACTCAAAACCTCAAACTCAAAACCTCAAGCTCAAAACCTCAAACTCAAAACCTCAAACTCAAAACCTCAAACTCAAAATCCCAAACTCAAAACCTCAAACTCAAAACCCCAAACTCAAAATCTCAAACTCAAAACCCCAAACCCCAAACCCAAAACCCAAAACCCCAAACTCAAAACCCCAAAACCCCAAACTCAAAAACCTCAAAATCTCAAAACCTCTAAATCTCAAACTCAAAGGCGAATTATAACCCAGAGATTCCCAAGCATCAGGATTTTCCCACCAATCTCCCTCGATGGGCGTGATGCTGCGCCCTCGGAGGTGATCGAAGGAGGCTGGTCGTTCAAGCAATCAGGATTTTTATTTATTTATTAATTAATATGTTATTTTTATTATTATCATTGTTTATTGTTGTTTTTATTATTATTCATTTTCATTATTATTATTATTATTACTATTATCGTCTTCACCATTATTTGTTTTTCCTTATTTTGTATTTGTTTACATTTTATTATTATCATTGTTGTTTTTTTTAAGTGTGGCTTATCGAGTTAACTACAGAGACCGCCTGCTTTGTTTTAGCTGTGAACGAGGCTGTAGCGTGGTTGTGTGTGCGGGAGATGGAATTTCGAATCGTAAATATATATGTTGAATCGAGAGAGAGAGAAGGAGAGGGAAGGAGGCTGGGAGAGAGCGAGAGAGAGAGAGAGAGAGAGAGAGAGAGAGAGAGAGAGAGAGAGAGAGAGAGAGAGAGAGAGAGAGAGAGAGAGAGAGAGAGAGAGAGAGAGGGGGGGGGGGGGGGGGGAGGGAGAGAGGGAGGGAGGGAGAGAGGGAGAGAGAGAGAGAGAGAGAGAGAGAGAGAGAGAGAGAGAGAGAGAGAGAGAGAGAGAGAGAGAGGGAAGGAGGGAGGGATGGAGGGAGAGAGAGAGGGAGAGAGAGAGAGAGGGAGGGAGGGAGGGAGGGAGGGAGAGAGAGAGAGAGAGAGAGAGAGAGAGAGAGAGAGAGAGAGAGAGAGAGAGAGAGAGAGAGAGAGAGGGAGGGAGGGTGGGAGGGTGGGAGGGAGGGAGGGAGGGAGAGACAGAGAGAGAGAGAGAGAGAGAGAGAGAGAGAGAGAGAGAGAGAGAGAGAGAGAGAGAGAGAGAGAGAGAGAAAGAGAAAGAGAGAGAGAGGAATATATGAATGTTCAACAACAGAAAATGAAAGTCATAAAAAAGGAAAAGAGAAAGATACAGAGAACTTAAAAAAAACATATACATATACATATACGTGATGCTGCGCCCTCGGAGGTGATCGAAGGAGGCTGGTCGTTCAAGCAATCAGGATTTTTATTTATTTATTAATTAATATGTTATTTTTATTATTATCATTGTTTATTGTTGTTTTTATTATTATTCATTTTCATTATTATTATTATTATTACTATTATCGTCTTCACCATTATTTGTTTTTCCTTATTTTGTATTTGTTTACATTTTATTATTATCATTGTTGTTTTTTTTAAGTGTGGCTTATCGAGTTAACTACAGAGACCGCCTGCTTTGTTTTAGCTGTGAACGAGGCTGTAGCGTGGTTGTGTGTGCGGGAGATGGAATTTCGAATCGTAAATATATATGTTGAATCGAGAGAGAGAGAAGGAGAGGGAAGGAGGCTAGGAGAGAGCGAGAGAGAGAGGGAGAGAGGGAGAGAGAGAGAGAGAGAGAGAGAGAGAGAGAGAGAGAGAGAGAGAGAGAGAGAGAGAGAGAGAGAGAGAGAGGGGGGGGGGGGGGGGGAGGGAGAGAGGGAGGGAGGGAGAGAGGGAGAGAGAGAGAGAGAGAGAGAGAGAGAGAGAGAGAGAGAGAGAGAGAGAGAGAGAGAGAGAGGGAAGGAGGGAGGGATGGAGGGAGAGAGAGAGGGAGAGAGAGAGAGAGGGAGGGAGGGAGGGAGGGAGGGAGAGAGAGAGAGAGAGAGAGAGAGAGAGAGAGAGAGAGAGAGAGAGAGGAGAGAGAGAGAGAGAGAGAGAGGGAGGGAGGGTGGGAGGGTGGGAGGGAGGGAGGGAGGGAGAGACAGAGAGAGAGAGAGAGAGAGAGAGAGAGAGAGAGAGAGAGAGAGAGAGAGAGAGAGAGAGAGAGAGAGAGAGAAGAGAAAGAGAGAGAGAGGAATATATGAATGTTCAACAACAGAAAATGAAAGTCATAAAAAAGGAAAAGAGAAAGATACAGAGAACTTAAAAAAAACATATACAAAAAAAAAAACATTAATAAAGAAATAAATAAACACGTACACACAATTAACGACTTTACAACGCTCCCAGCATCACAAACTCTAAACACCCAACCAACCTGCAACATCCAACCTTGCACATAAAATCGAAAAAAAATAAAAACAAAACAACACCTTTCTTTTTCCCTTTTCTTTCGTTCACATAAAAAAAAAGCCAGTTTAACTTGCCGGATTATCGTGAGTGAATCTAACGTTAATTTCAAGTTATGATAATGATGAAGGACTCTTGAATTTGATATATTTATTCTTACACAATTATAAGACGTTTGAGTTCCGGATAACGAGAGGAAAAGCGGGTATGTTATCGAATCCGGTTACGTAAGGGTATTTAACGGAAGACTGGCTGATAGTGATGAGAATGGAAATGGGTATGTTTATGATAATGATAGTGATGGTGAGAATGATGATGATGATGAGGAGGAGGATGGTGATCATGATTATATGATGATAATGATGGTAGGAATAATGATGATGATGATGATGGTGATGATGATGATGATGATGATGATGATGATGATGATGAGGATGAGGAGGAGGAGGAGGAGGAGGATGGTGAGAATGGGTATGTTTATGATAATGATAGTAATGGTGAGGATGATAAAGATGATGATGATGGTGAGAATGATGATGATGATGATGTTGATAATGATTAAAATAATGAGAAAAATAGGAATGATAATACCGATCATGAGGCTGATATGATAATGACAATAAGGAGAATAGTGTTAATGACAGCAGTGACAATAGTGTTACTAATAATAACAATAACAATAATAATAGCAATAACAATAATGTAAATGATGATAAGATCGGTAATGTAATTTACAACAACAATCATGATAATTGATATTGATGGCAATAATGATAATAACAGTAACAATAATAATGATGATGATGATAATGATACTACTACTACTAATGAAAATGATAACAGATAACATTAATAATAATAAAAGTCAAATTAACATTAATAATGGCAATATCTTTAGTGTTATTGATGGTAATTGCCATAATGATAATGATTATAACTACAACATCGATAAGAATAAATTACAATAACACCAATAATGATATTAATAACAACACTCATGTAAAACAATATTGAAAAAATGCTGGTACTTTTACACGTTCTCATCAGATCTAGCGTTGGTTATTCATCTGATAAATATCAAGTTAGTATATTAAAGTTATTAGACGATTAGTGCTGGATAATTGCCAGTTATTAACTACCCATCATCCTCGTTAACTTCTCCTAATGACCTATTAGAACGAACCTCTTGTTCATTTACCGGCCGTCCATTTTTTTTTTCTTTTTCTTTTTTTGATACTTTTTGGGGGTGAAATTTTAGTTTATTGAGCAGCTCTTAAGCCAGATATCTTGAAGAAAAAAATACTAGCATGGGTAATATTTTAATCTCATTATTTTTCTTTATTACTGTTATTTCCTTGTCTGATTTTCACATGTTGACTCATGTATTTTTTCTGTATTTTTATTTTTTTATTTTTTTTTACTGTATGTTTGCGTTAACGTGTATAAAACAAAAGTCAATGATCGTTATTTGTGAAAATTTATTCTCGGTTATGTTCTCTTAAAACACTTAGGGATTTTTGTGCACAGTACAAGCAGTATATTTACGTTTTATGATATATATATATATATATATATATATATATATATATATATATATATATCATATATATATATATATATATATATATATATATATATATATATATATATATATATATATGTATATTCCTTTTTCTTTTTTTCTTTTTTTCTTTTTCTTTTTCCTGTTTTCTTTTCTTCTTCTTTATTTTTATCTTCTTATTTCTTTCTTTCTTACTTTATTTTTGTTTTTTCTTTTTTTTCTTTCTTTCTTTCTTACTGTTTCTTTCTTTCTTTCTGTTTTTCTATCTTTCTTCCTCTATTTATCTATATATTTCTTTTTTTCTTTTTCTTTTTCTTTATTTCTTTTTTTCCTTCTCTTTCTTCCTTTCTTTTTCTTTCTTCCTTCTCTTTTGTTTCTTTATTTTTATTTTTATTTCTTATTCTCTTTCTTTCTCTTTCTTTGTTTTTCCTTCTTTCTTTCATTCTTCTTCCTTTTCTTTCTTTTTTTCTTTTTCTTTCTTTGTTTTTTTTTCTTTCCTTTTCTTTTTCTTTTTTCTTTCTTTCTTTTTCTTCAACTCAGTGATGTGTTTAAAGTATATATTCACGTGGAATGTGACCTACTTACACTGATATGTGAAGCAAAGACACGTATTTAAAAAAAAGAGAGAGAAAAAAGAAAAAAAAAAAAGAAAAATAGACATACTTAGAAATAAAACAAAAAGACATATTGCAAAAGTGACATGATTCCTACAGCCCCCCCCCAACCCAACCCCCGTTACCCTACCTACCCTACCCCCCCCCCCTCCCTCTCTCCCAAAAATGGTCAGTCATCAAAATCACATTCAGTGGTGTTATAGCCAAGGTTGCAACTGCAAACACGACCCCGCTGTTGCAAATGTCAAGATCACCTGCCTTCTCCTCGGCAGCCACAAACATTCCTCGGTGATTTCACTCCTTCGGTAAGCGCTGTGGTCTCGAGGGGGATGCTGGGAGGAGGGGTATGGAGATAGGGATGCTGGGACGAAAAGTAAGGATGGAGGATGCTGGGATAGGAGATGCTGGGATGTAGATAGAGGATGCTGGGACGAGAAGTAAGGATGGTGGGATAGAGATGCTAGGGTGGGATGGAGGATGCTGGGATGAGTAGGGATGCTGGGGTGAGGGAGATGGAGATCGGGATGCTAGGATGGAGAATGCTGGGACGAGAAGTAGGGATGCTAGGATGTAGATGGAGATGTTGGGATGGGATGGGGGTGCTGAACGAGAAATGGGGATGAGATGGATGAGAAGTGTTGGGATGATGAGTAGGGATGCTGGGATGGGAGATGGAGATGCTGGGATGAGAGGATGAGAGATAGATATGGAATGGGGATGCTGGG